AGGGCAATTAGACAACAATAAGAAGAACATATAAAAAGAGAGGGATTTAAATCTTTGTTATATTTTTGTTAGCAAGCATGTTTGAGTGGAGATCTAAACCCACGATTCTTTTAATTGTGATATAGAGCTCAATTAAATTTGTAATATTGTTATTATTTTATAAAGTAAAATAACTATTTACGAAAGTGTAACTTTAAAATCAATATAACTTCAAAACAAGCTATCGACAAAATTTTATTTTATGAAACAAAATCATAGATTATATCTAATGGTCCGTTGAATTTTTGTAGTTGTTATTTTAAACATAAAATGATGTTTTTGTACAGCTTGGCCCTTTCCCCAGCACACTTCTACTAGTTCTTCTCAAAGCCAATGAGATAGAGCTCCTTGCAAATTCAAGTTTTCGGTGACAATMCAGAAATGTCATGGTTCCTCATATATGCGTTCCATCATATTAGTGTATACTTTGACGATTTCAATTTTCTTTCTTCGATCCAGTTCATTCTGTCTTCTTTACGATGGATCAACCCTATGAGACCGAGAAGAACTTCCAAACTCTTAATTTAACATAAAATATAAAACTATTTTAAAACCTAAATACGTTTTCAGCACAATCAATAGTAACTTAAGCATACCTTAATAGCTAAGAGATGAATCTCCATTTAAATGGAAAAAAGAAATTGATACACCCCAATATTAAACAATTCTATATGTTTATAGATTCACCGACACCACGAATGAATCAACATTTATGTATATCAAAAAATTAATAAAAATATCAACAAAATATCATATTAATGGACATGATATTATTAATAATAATTTAAATATTTGTTATGAATTTTTAATCTTTATAAATTTTAAAAAAATATCTACGTGTTGCTCCTCGCAGGAGGTTTAGGTGTTGATCCTCCAAAATTCACATTCAAGGCCTTCTGTAAAAAAATATCTATATATATCAATATTTTATCCATATTTTTCTTCAATATTTACAATCCCCATTTTTTAAGTTGGGAACGCATTAATTGAGGAAGAAGCAAAAGGTTTGGAAGAGTAAGAAAGAAAAAGGATGATGGCCTTACAGCTCTGCCACATTTGGGCTCCACCTCCCAAAATCTGTACTTTTTGCTCTCAAATTCTCTCTTCTTACCTGATTACAGAGTAGTTTATTCTCGCCGCCATCTCCTCCGCCCCCATTTCTGACACTGACCCCATTTTCCCTTACCATTTTCCCCCTCAATTCCTTCAACTTCTAACCGAACCTCCAACTTTTTCCCCTTCATCCGTGGCCGCCCATGATTCTCTCTATCTGGCCCCATAATTGCGGTTTCTTTCGCTTTTGCTATGTGGGTTCCTCTGGATTCCACTTTCTCGCATTGCATGTGAAACCCAGCTGCGTTTCGTCCCCTTTTTGTATCTTTTTCCCCCCTCTCTGTTCTGTTTTCAACTGTGAATCCCAGATTCTGGATTTTCCCCTGTGAGATTCCCATTTTCGGTTCTGCGTTTTGGATTTTGCTGCATGGTAAGATCTGTTGTCCAATCGGTCATCTCTGTAATTTGGATTTTGAACTGCAAATTCTTTCGTACATCGCTTGGAAATCTCGATCGATCATCATTTCTTAGACTCATTCGCCGCGGTCTGATGATTTGTTCTTATGGGTGTCTTTCAGGTACTTGCTTAGATAAAAGGATTCTGGGTGAATAGATAAAGGATTCTGGGTGCACCAATCTTGTTATTCGGTTGAGGTGCGTGATGATCGAAGATTTTTCATGGGAATTTTATATTGTACCCTGTTTAGTTCTTACCATTGATTTTATTTTTCTGGGTTCTTCCGATGACGAATTTCTAGATTAAAAATGGGTTTCTGGATTCTCTTGGTTTTTTCTGTAACAGTTTCTGAATCAGAAACCAGATTGTGGGACGATCGATTTGAGGGTCGATATGATTTCTCCAGCATTGATTTGTTTCTGCTGGAGTAGCGGAAGTTGCAGGGCACATATCGATTGAGTGAGATTCTAAATGGAAGTATCATCGAGTGGTAAACGCTCGATATATTGCCTTCGGTATCTTAATTCCAGAATTTGCAAATGCGTTGCCATATTACTTGCTCTTCTGGTTGTTAGAGCTATTGTTTTCCCGTCGCTCTCAAGTTTTAGTCGGATTGGAGAGAACGGCTTAGTAATCATCCGCAATCACTCTCTGTGGTCTAGTTCTGATTCCGGAATTCGAATCGACAAGTTTTTGGAGGTTCCTCAGATTGTTTGGGGTTTGAACAATCAAAAGATAGCATTTGCTAGAGCTTGTCTGACTGCAAGAATGTTGAACCGAACTCTTTTGATGCCTAGCCTGAGTGCCTCCCTCTTCTACAAAGAAGTCGAGCGTTTGGAACCGATTTCCTTTGATAAGATCTTTCAATTTGAAGAGTTCAATTCTCGCTGCAACGGGTATGTTCGATTGGGTCGTTATATGGATATCTCAAATCGAACAAGAGCAACTGAGCTGCCAAAAGGAAGCGGGAGGAAGTGGACGGTCGAGAGGGATTTGGAGCAATTGAGGGAGTATAGCAAGGAACTGTTTGATCATCATGAGGTGATCCGAATAGTTGGTAAAAATCCCTTTCTATGGCACGATCACTGGCCTGTAAAGGACTATGCAAAGGTTTTCGAGTGCTTAGTTTTGGTTGACGAAATAGAGAAAGAAGCAGATAAAGTGATTGCGAAGATACGAGAGGTAGGATCAGAAGTTAGAAGTAAATTTGGATCCGATGCTACTGGTGTGGAATCCGAGAAGTTGTTGCAACTGGTGCCATATGTTGCGGTCCACATGAGAATAGAGATAGACTGGATGATTCACTGTAAGAAGTTAGAGCAGAGATCTAAGATAAACCAAATTTGTAGTAGCAAGGAGGAGATAATGGATAGAGTAGGGAACATTTTGGGAACGAAAACGCCAGTGGTCGTTTATCTTGCTGTGGCAGATAGTTTACTTAACGATTCTTCTATTTTGAAAGGTTGGAAAGAAGGCTTGCTACCTTTTGAGAAGAAGAAATTGGGGATTGATAAGATATACAAGAAGTATCCTTACCTCATACAGTCAGCAATCGATTACGAAGTTTGCTTGAGGTCCGATGTCTTCGTTGGAAACAGTTTCTCCACGTTTTCGAGTCTTGTAGTTCTCGAGAGGACGCAAAAGATGATCAAAACGGGGGTCGAGGACCTATGTAGTACAGATGTAAGGTGGCCTTCTTATGCTTATAACATATTAGGAGATTCAAAGGGTCCTCGGAAATGGATAGCTAATATGGCTGATTTAAGCCTCCAAAAAATTAGCTATGGTTCCAACGAAACCTCTTGTTAATGGTCGCCTTCTCGATTACACGAGATTGAAGATGTTAACTCTACGTCGTTATTCTTTCATTCATTCAAAAGCAGAAGTAGATGATGGAGAAATATGGAGAAAGGAAGAAACAGCACCCTCCGAATCCAATCGGTACAGTTTTCGGTTTTGTACATTTGATTATTTGTTACACGTTCAGTAGATGCTTTTTGAGGAATTGATTGAACTATTCTTTATAACCGTCCATTCATTTTACAAATTGTTTTACCATACATAAAAGTTTCGCAGCTATTAATTTCTCCTGTGAATATATATTTAGCATACAGAGGCAAAATATGAGGTATCTCTAAATCCCGAGCTTTCGTCATCTTAGCTCGTTGTTCGTTAACGATAGGAATGTGATGTGTTATGTTTATGATTAGTTGATTAGTCAAACGCTCTTTTAAGTTAGTCGATTCCAAGTCGTGGGACATTTGAAATGTGTCGAACTAGGAACGAGGTCATTTTGGGGCGAGTGGATTATTTTTCAAGAGAACGATTTGGAGTTCTTGCAAGGTGGAACTGTGCTACCAGACACGAGGTAGATTTTCCTATCTTAGAATATAGTATATAGTTTGCTTATTAAGATGGACAATAGACATGGACCAATGGGGGCAATGAGGTTTCAGTTGGTAATGCATTTATCTGTTTATTTTTTGGCTAAATATAATACCAAATGTTTAGATAATGTTTTAATTTTGTTTTTTATCTTTCGAAATTCTCAATTTTATATTAAAATTCTCTTTAGGTTGTCTCTGTTGAAATTTGTCAATAAAAAGATTGTTATTGTTTATTAACATATTTAGACACGGGCCAATCAGCATGTCATTTTTTTTAGTATTAACATGTGGAAGTGTGGATCGAACTCACAACCTCTTGAGATATATGTCAATTATCAATTAATTATGCTGGCTCTGACACGAGTTAATTGTGTTAATAAGCAAAAGTCAAATTTTGTTAATAATTGAATGATCCATCATTTTTTTTAAAACAAATTTTGATCATGATGGAGAATTATTTAAAAGATAAGGCTTATTTATTTTAATGCATATTTAAAAAAGAAAGGAAAATCAACGCCAGATTAGCCAAGTTTTCCGGCTGAATTTTGTCATCTTGCTATATGACATTATTATGACGTCACAGCATATATTTTCTTTATACAAACTCTATTTTATTTAATAAAATAATAATCATAAAAGAAGGCATTGCCGGATTAGGGATTTTTAAATTTATATTTCAACAATAATTTCTCGAGTTTAAAACTTTAGAAATAAAGAAAGGAATCAGAGATGCTGTATATGCTAGATGGGAATAGAATAAAAATATTCCTTTGCAATAAAAAAAAGAATAAAAATATTTAATTAAAAGAAATATTTTATTTTATCACCACGGTCCCACATCAATATATTTGCCTCGAGTATTATTTCAATAAGATTCTTATTATTAAATTTTTTTAATTAAGTCCATTTATTTTTGATATTATATATATATAATTTTAGAAAAAGCTAAAATTAACTTGTGACAAAGTAATATGATATAATACTCAGCGAGTTTATAAATTTGAAGAAAATCTAAGAGATGAAAGTCTCTATTTTCTCCTCCAATGTTTCCTTGACAAAATTTTTGCCACTTTTTTTTTTTAATAACCTAATTAATTTTTTTTCAAATTTCTGTCAACTCATTCCAATTTTAACATTTACCTATATAATTGAAGAATAATAAAAACTTCTTAAACAATGACTCCATGGTTATATTACAAATGTCAACTAAATTTTTGTCATTACTACATCTCCATCTTTAGCTAACAGAATTAGTGCAGAACAAACCAAGATTTTTCAGAACTCAAAATTTAAATCATAACTTCAGCATCAAATACACCAACTGAAGAACAAAAATTACAATTTACTAGAATTTCAATACACAATTTGACAAACTCGACTATAATAGTTTCAGATCATTCTTTTCAAACCCATTGAATCTAAAAAGATTCAGCCACAGAAATTATTCAAAATAGTGACGACCCGTCCCTCCCATGGCAGCTAAGTACTCGGCCAAGAAGTACTTCTAATCTCTCATGTATCTAATGATCATAAAAAAAAAAACTACACCGAACAACACAGTTGAGAGAGTGCAAGAAAATAACTTTGTGAAAGGTACACCTTCAAAGAGCTATTTATATACCACAAAAGATCAGATGATTCTCAAAGTACTGTGAAAAGGACTGAAAAGGAGCGTCATTTTTTTCTGCGGGGATGGGAGGAAGTCTTCTCCATTTTCACGTGGACAAGTTCCTCCCGGAATCCCTGCCTCAATCCTCGTGAAATTTCGTGGGGACAAATAATGAACCGGGGTGGGGCCACCATGTCGACACCCCAACATGGGGAACTTGACCAGTTCCTAATTCCTATTTTAGGAAGGGGAGGAGAACTTTACCTTCTCTGGGAAAAGATGATCCTGGTAAGTCCAAAATTGACCCAACTGTGAATTCAATCTGCAACTAAGAACAACATAGCAACAGAATACATAGGTAGTATAGTATATAATGTCACTTCAGCACAGCACAATCATACAGAAATGAAAATGACAAAACCCACCTCCTCTCCTGACTCTGAAATAAGTTACATGATAAACTATAATCCACAAACAGTGCATGGGAAATTGCACACCATAAATGAAACATAATGAAAACAACTTTTTTTTCATTTTCATTGACTGACATAACTAAATCGTTCTCTATTTCTTTTTCTCAAACATTTCTTTGAAAAGAGGAAAGAAAGCTGACATTCTTGCATGAGATTTCCTTCTTTCTTATCTAATGCAAGGAGGACCTTTCAGGGTCTCATCATAATTTTCCAATGTGAAATAATATATAGAGAAAGAGAGCTTTAACTAAGGGGGACGAAACGCCAGGCTTTCCATACGTAAATGAGGGAAGAAAAAACTAGAGCGAGAAACTCTTTTACCTCCTCCCCTTCTTATTCTTCAACTTCAGAGTAAGAGACCTAAAAGTTGACTTCATCATTGTACATAATCTTCGTAGTAGCTATCGCTTATCACAGAAACAAACCTCTCCAGCCATGGAAGCTGGTGTAGATCCTTCATGGTGTCGACATAAGAGTCTGTACAACGTGGTGGAGATTGATGCGGCTGGTGGTCACTCAGACTGAATCCCCCAGCAAGGAATCGTTGGATTAGTGCTAATTGAGACCGCTCTTGCTCCGAGTACGCGTCCATTATCATGGGGAGAGAATTAAAAGTCTCCCATGCCCACTGCTCAGATTCTTGGATGGAGTGTGTGACTAAGTCCTCGGAGTTTTCTTCGTCCCACAAGGCACATTGGCATGTCTGCTGGCTATCTTGGTACTCGGCACCACAAGAATAGCAAAACTCGTGCCCGCACCTGACAAGATGAGTTAAAAAATATCAAGCAAAGTGACGTGTCTACTCTCTAATCTACAGATGTAAACAGGGTAGTTACAAATACAGGACAAATTAAGTGACATCTACAATTTCCTTTACTGCCGTCATTATATAGTTGTGATTCAATGCTTCTTGAGGTTTCGGTTGGGAAGGTGTTCTCTCTATATTGGAATGAAAGGCCTTTGTCCAACCAAGTGTTGGGATCTAAACTTTAAAGGCCTTAAGAGCCAGAACCAGCTCTAGCTGCCCTGTGTGAGTGACAACAAGAGTACAGTGTGCAGAAACATTGGTTGATATAATAGTAGCATGCTCAGTAGAAGTTTGAATGTGAGATTAAAGAAAACAGATAGGATGTCATAAAAGTGGGAAAAGCAAAAATAAGTAAATCCCCTTCATCATATTTAAAAGTTCAAAACCAAAAGATATGAAAACATAAGAAGAACAAGCAGAGAGATTTAAGATTGAGCTAATATTTCATCAATCACTCTGTTTGACATTTTCCACCACAACTGCAACCATTAATATTTCCCCACTATCGTTCATCTAACTGGAGGTTTTCCGTTCCATCTCTAGAGAAAAGCCTAGAAAGGTTGTAATATTGTATGACCACAGACTGCACGACACATAGTGGCAAATGACATTTTAACACTTGCTACTTTGTGTTTCCCTGACATTCCATTTCTTCTAGAAAGGTACATAAGATCTACTTGAGATATGTACAAACAATCATGTTTATATGTTGCATTACAATAAAGCTGATATAACATATGCACAAAATTACAACTTTTCCTAGTATTTGGAAATTGTATATTGACATAAAAATATAGGAGAATATTTGGCTCACAATTTCAATGAACTTGGGTTTGGTACTCTTGAGCTGAGAAGTTTGGGTTTATGTAGTTTGTGTTTGAATTGTGTAGACTAGAGATGAAGTCCAACGTGTAATTAGTTTGTGGATTTATGAATCGTAGAAGTACATAGCCTAATAGGTAAATTTTAGAAACCTGAATTTAAGTAATCTCAAGCCCATGAGATTTGTAAACTTGTAGAATCTAGGATAAACAATACCACATACAAAATATAGGCTCAAAACCCCAAGCTATACAAATCTAATCCGTGAGCCAAACATATCCTACTTGTTTTCTGCAGTTAGTTACTAAGTTTAGACCATCATCAAATGACAATTCTGTATCAAGCAGTTCCCACGGGAAATAGACTAAATCAGTAAATGATGGCATCTAGAAAAATTGCGAAACATAAAAAGATCTAATCTAGCAGAAAGCAAAAAGAGATCTGAAGATTATGTTTGCATGCCATGCCTTATGATTATCTACACAAGTATACAAAATGCATCTAGTTTTTCTAATTAGGTTCTACAACCCAAACATTAACAATCTAACATCCCACTAAATTTGTGAGATACATTTCTGATGACACTGGTGATTCCACAACAAACAGGTTAGCATAAATAAAAAGAGATCTGAAGGAAGAAGCCTTACCAGCATGTCATATGGTAGCACCCTTGAGTCAATTCAATCATCCTTCGACATTGCTGACAACGCTTCCACCTTTTATTTTGCGCAAGACGATGTAATGTAATATCTTCCGTGTCAATGTTCTGAAACTCTTCACAGCTCATTGATGAATGCCAAGGAACTCCGCAGTAAACACAGATAAATCTCTGACAAACCGGACACTCAATACAGCTATTATCGGATTGACTTGATGAACTTGCCCTACCTGACAAACATTCACTGGGGTCTAACAGGACAGAGCAATTCGGAAAAGGGCAGTAAATTCTGTCCGAGTGAATATTTGCTTCTGCTAAGGTATTCTCCAAAGATTCATATAAAGTTAGGGGAAGAAAAGATCTAAACTCATTGATTGTGATGTAATATTTGCATCTCAACTGAGGGCATCTGATAGGAACTTGAGAAGACTGTACTTTTCCATCAACATAAGTCTTCATACAATGAGAGCAAAATTTATGACAGCATTTCAACCCAACCATCATAGCAGATGGTTTGTTTTCACAACAAATAGAACAATTTTCAACTGATTTATCTCCCTTTTGTGGACAAGAAAGAACCCCAATAGCCACTTTGGCAAGATGGAATGGCTGCTCAAGATCAGTACTTGAAGAGAGGTTCAAGGAAAATGCTTCAAAAGTGCTAGCATGTTCTAGAATCCTTTCTTTCAGCGCAATAAGAAGTGGAATTTCAGATTCCTCTTCATTTGTTATCTGTAAAACATTCACGTTATCTTAAGCGTATAAGAAACTTGTAGGCACATGGCTAGAAAACTGTAAGAGCTTAAACATCTCTGCACTTGTAGAGACTTTCACAGTTCATGAAGCTACAACACTCATATTAACGAAACATGGAACCAACGCTATCCTCCTGCCTTGTGCAGAAGAGAAAGGTCATAATCAATCCTATCCTCCTCCCCTCTCTTCCATAAATTTTATATAATCAATGAAATTTGATCCTTATTAAGAAAATCAAATGCAACTTGTTGTCAAGTGTTAAAAGACATGGAATTTCCAAAAATCCACATTACTAAGAGCAGTAGTGAGAATAATTCTCAAATGTTCTTTTGAAAAATAATACAGAAAGAACCCACCAAAAATGGAGTTCAGAAATAGCAACAAATTATCAAAGAGGAGCGGAGCATCATAAATTTTCCAATAGAAAAAAAAATGATAATCAGCATAAGTCAAAACAAGCAAAGTTCAGGCAGATAGGGGAAATAATAACCTGATTATATAAAAGATCAGAGTCGGTGAAAGCTCGAATACAGCGGATTTCATTCTGCATGGCCTCCACCAGGCCATCCATTAGAGCTAAATAATCAGCGACTAACTCATCAACATAAAAATCAAGCTTTTTCTGGACCTGGATAAAAGGAACTTTTCCTGATTTTTCCATGAACACTCCAATACCAGAAAGACCAGAAGCAGGGTCACCAATCTCAGCTATTGAAATGCCCTTAAAGAACATTTTAACTGAAAACTCATCAAGATGTTCCTCCTCCTCTGACCCTTCTTCCACTAAATCCTCAGCTTCTTTCCACACCTCGTGATCTTCGCAACAACTTCGGAAATCTTCAACATCATCTTCCTCAGCCGGACCATGAGAAGACCCACGACCAAAAATCTCCCGATGCTCCATTCTCTCAATTTTTCCAGCGACCCACAAACCCCAGATGGTTCAGGATTAAAGTGGCAGCAAATAAGAGAAGACCCACCGGCAAATGAATTTAAGACCGTCCTTCGCCCTTCTTAATTACTCAAAAGAATCACGTGAAGAAGCTCATATCCACCGCCTGATCGTGGAGCCCTCGTTCCCAAACGTTAAAACGTCTGAATCAATCTTCCCCTAATCTGCAAATTGAAGCAGCAATCGCTCCTAAAATCACCGGAAACGATCAACATCACTCACAAGTTTTTTTCAAGTCTATATTCTAGATCAAAAAGCAACAGATACCCATCGTAGAATCAACCCAAAAGGATTAAGATTCGTAAAAATTTCCACATCGAGCACACGAAATTCCAAAAATCGAATACCAAAAAGAGGGAGATGTCCGAATCGGAGAAAATGTAAATTAAAAAAGAAAAAAATAGTTCTTGGATGTTTTGCATTAATTCGAGATCGACCCACTTAGCACCTAAATAATCCATCAAACCCCATCATTAGTACCAAATAAAACTTTACATAAATTTAGGGATGGGGGGTCGGAGGAAACAAATAAACATCGATACAAAGAAGAACAAAAACATGGGCAAGAAATGAAGGTTCCATACCACCAAAAAATTTCACCTCATGTGAAGGGAATTCTGTGGACTGAAAGATTTGTCTGTGGGAAAATGATATTAAAACCCTAATCTGACAAACTGCAAGTATGAGCGAGCATGGTTTCTCTCTCCTCAGTGCTCACTCACTCTCTCTTAAAAACAGGTGGATCCATTAATTGGAAATTTGGGAGAGAGTAAGATGAATCAGAGGAAGGAGAGAAAAAGGAAGAATCTTGAGTTACTATTTGCTATTTTAATGCCGTGAGATTAAAGAAAAGTTCTTTGTGTTGCCATTGCCAAATCCCAATCTTCTTCACTCGCTCTTCTTTGTCTTCGGTTTGGGTTATTTTCTTTCTATAATTTTGTTGTGGATAAGGGACTTCTCATTTAATTTCCCTTCTAATTTTATTACAATATACT